ATAGATTCATTCTATACATTTTGTTCCTCTGGAGAACCCTAATACAGCACATTAGAAGCCTTCCTACAGAAGTCGCTCAAAAGGACTTCATGAACATGTCTCATTAGTATCTCTATCTTAATGAAGAGTCAGTGGTAGCTGAGAGAGGTTATACAGTTTGCCTATGGTCAGCCAGCTGGTAAGTAAAGGATTATACTTGAATTCACTGGACTGGAAAATTTTTATCTAAGCCTATGGCATTGCCTTTATGAAAGGGGCATCTCACTAACACAGCCTCAGAGCATAGCAGGATGTACACATGTAGGCATGAACATCTCTAAGGTCTCTTAGAAAGCACGCAGCACTACAACAACTAAGGATATGTTACTATTTTCTATCCAAATATGAGAAGAACCCTCAATACATTTCCAGCTCCTAACAGGCAACCCGTGGAATGCCAAGGACCCTCAGGTAGGCTGCAGAGGATCTATGACTATGAAATGGTAGGCAAGTTTTTGTGACAAGCACACAAGCTTCTTCTAGAGTGAGGGCCCATCACTTTGGACATGTTTGTAGATCTCGGATTCACAAAAGGATGAGGTGCACTGGTCCTTCCTAAGGAATGAAAAAATGGAGAAGGTATGACAAGGTTTTGGTCATAGCATCTGACTTCCAAAAAATGAATAGGTAAGAGCCTAGTGAGGTCCTTCCAAGTCAGCGATGGCTATCACAGACACAAGGATGATGGGATAGCAAGACACAAAGTGGGTATCTTCTTTCGAGTGTGCACATCTCGTGACCTCCATGCTGCCTCTGTAACTTGGCAATCATGTCTGGTTCAGTGTCATCTGTTCATGCCAGGTGCATTCACTATACCTTCTGGCTCACATCTGGGATCAATACACAACGTGTGCTAGGAGGCACCAGGTCAGGGGTGTGCCTCTCCCACTTCCTGTTCATGAAGCAGTTCAGGAAATGAACATGCCTCCCCTTAAAAACACATGTACTACCTGTTTTGAACTAAATGGGAAATCACCTTGGAACCAGGGTCTAAAAAGCAATGGCATGTTCTTCCCTGTTCTGAATGGTGTGATATAGCTAAGGCACTTTAAAATGACCAGTCAAAACCATTCACTGGCCTAAGGACTAACACGAAATAAATTTTAAACTATTTTAAAGGGGAAAGAGCCTTCTTCCTATTGCCAAGACAATTCCCCAATACTATTTATTGCATCCAACTTACTCAGCCAGAACATACTTTTGAACCACAGTTTTCTCTCCTTTGCACAATTACTGTCTACCATCCTATATTCAATGACTTTGTTCATGGGCTTACTCACAGGATCACCATAAGACTTAACAATGAGTGTATTATTGGTCATTCATACCAAGATACCTTGGGAAGTGAGGGGCTGATGGCAGGACAAGAGGTGAGATCAAGGAATGGTGACTTTGACAGCACCAAATTCAACAAGCTCGAGGGCTCTGCTCTGGCTCTTTCCACCCCAAATCCTCCCTGTTAAAATAAGCAGTAGGCCCCCGCAAAGTGCTCACTAAGACCTCCCTGAGATCCACAGTCACCAGCAGCAGCTGGAATGCATGCTAGCACTCAACCTCTACTTCAGCACCAGCTCGTCCCATGACTTCTACATCCTGTGTGTGTGACTTCCTTGCCCTCTCTAAGCTTCTAGTTCCACTCTTGTCCGACGGCACTGACCATAGCCATAGCCTGCCTCACTTGACTGGGCAGGAATTAAATGAGGTCACCCACAGGAACTGAGTGAGAATGGATGGACAATAAGGTAGACCATGCTCAGTATATGTTACTCCTAGATCATTTCAGTAAGGTACATACAGCAGGTGACCATCACCCTGTGTGCCAGCACCCATCTCATGGGCACAGCGGGAGCCTAACCCAGCCTGTCTAACCCTGAAATGGGCCCTAGGCCAATCCTGGCCTATACCCTTCACTGAGACCCAGGGAACTGCCTTTTTCTTAATGCTAAAATGGTGGGATCCAATAGTTCTAACGTCATTAATGGCCATTCTGAGGAGAAAGCAGAGCCACCAAGAGAAAGAGTAATAAACAAGAGAGTTGACATGGAGGACAGACCTAGGGTCACTAAAGCTGGTCTCCCTACTCCATGGTGAGCTGTATTTTTGCCTCCCGTGAGGACTGGACAAACAATTCTGGGGAGGGTCCATATCAGGAACCATTCTTTAGCCAAAGCTACTTTGAACTCCAAACGCAACCAAAGGCTACCAAGAAGGACATCATGTTCTGTAGAGAGCTACAGCCATGGACAGTTAGCATCCTAGGAGAGAATGACTTTTATTTAAAGCGAGGAGAAAGAGAGAGGGGGAAGAGAGAAAAACAGAAGAGGGAGAGAAGGAAAAAGAGGAGGAGGAAAAGCAGAAAGAAGAGGGGACGAGAAGGAGGAATGGAAGGGGAGGAGGAAGAAGAGGAAGAGGAAGGGAAGTGGGAGAAAATGGAGGAGGAAGGGAAGAAGGAGAAGGGAAAGGAGGAGGAAGGGAAGGAGGAGGAGGGAGAAGAAGAAGAGACCTTCACTAAAGCACTGAGCTGAGCATTCCGCTTGTACCGTATCCTCTGTCCCCCATGGACACTCTGCACAGTAGGCATCATATTTATCCCATTTTATGGAGGAGAACGCTGAAGTACCCAGAGGTGCCTTCTTGAGGCTACACATTCTGGAGCACACCATTGCTGACCCCTAAAGGCCCTTCCATCCCAGATGACCGACCTAAGCCAAGATCGTAATAACCCTCAGAGAATGGGAACATAGCTTCCATGGGCCAATCTAGAGGAAGGGGCTTGACCTTTGGGTATTTTGCCACTCCTGCAGGGGACACAGCCATAGAAGGAAGCTGACCACAAGAGGAAGGGGCCCCGACAGTTGCCACATAAATAGAGTTCTCAGGTAAGCTGAGTTTGAACTTTAGGTAAGTAGTGACTTACACGTTAGTATGTGTGTCCCCAACATTGCATGGCATGTATTTTTATCCGAAGAGAGCATCAGCTATCTGACTTCAAGTCTACCTGGGTACCCTGCATTTTTATTTGCCTAACATGCCTTGGGGGAGAGAAGAGGTACCCACAAGCTCAGGAATCTGCTGACCACAAAGCCCTTAGCCTGTACCATCTCAGAGCTTCTGGATCCACAAGGTCATCCCATCCTTGCTAGCTGCACAGCTGAGAATTCTCTCACTTGCACCCCATCCTGTATCTCTGGGGCTAGTCAGTGATTTCCAGGCCGGGCGGAAGGATGCTCAGCCTAATCGTCATCATCAGATTAATTCCCAAAGGGTTGGGAACTGAGCACCGTACTAAAAGCCACAGTGCTTGTGTTTGGCACCTTGAACTTGTATTTTTAGAACGGTAAGGATGCAGCTTGACAGACGTACTGGAATTCATCAGATTCTCCTCAGTCGATGTAAATGTGTCATTATAAAGTCGCAGAACACGAATGCACTTAAAACTGGAAAACTCCTTCATGAATACTAACAAACTCTGAAATCACAGGGAAGACGACTGCCTACAGCTATCGAAAACACCCAGCCAGCCAAGATTAAGGATTTCAGTTTTTAAACAGTAATGATAAACTCCCATGTAATTTTGTTTAGAAAAAAACATCAATTAGCCACACAGAAAAATTAGACTTTAGATCAAACACGGAGCATTATAAACTAGTCACATAGAGTAGGAAGGAGTGTGTAAACAAGCAGCATGGACAGGTGGATGTGGACAGTGGTGCTATTTAAAGACAGAAGTCGTGTGTGTGTGTGTGTGTGTGTGTGTGTATGTGTGTGCATGTGTGTGTGTGTATTTGACACTGTTCACCAGCATCAGTTATTTCAAGATAATGAACTTATGAATTTTATGTGCAATACCTTGTATACTAACAATCAACTGTGTTCACTGATACCTGTTAGTTACAAACACAGCTGGGGACAGGTGCTTGCTGTATCTTAGTTTATACCAACCAGCTCTGAGGTCCCATTCAAGTGAAGAGGCCTGCCATAGCAGAACGTACCACCAGTAACATTGCCACCACCTGGGCACCTCTAACACACGTGTGAGGCAAATTAGAAAACTGCAACCGGAAAATGAGGCCTAAGAAAACTGTCTTGGGGAAAAGGTCACTGTTTTTCTCACACACACAGGAGTGAGTTCAAATTAATCCACAAATTAACAGATTAATCAATTTACCGTTAACGAGCATTTTAAAAAACAATTTTTAAAGAACTTATTTTGAGATGCCCCATTTTGTCATCTAACAAATTTACATGCTCTCTTTTAGCAGTTTAATGAAACAATTTTCACAAAATTCCAATAAGACCTGTGTGGGGAGAGCAGGAAGACTTAATAACACATTTCTCAGTTTTATCTGAAAAAAGTAACCAATAGGAAACATTTGAACAGAAGGGACAGAGGCAGAAGGATGGCCCCACGCAGACATGAAAAGCACAGCTAAGGCAAGCAATTAGAATCGTGTGGGACAGCCACAGGCCTGAACAGGAAGCCCAGAGGAGCAGAGGGGAATGTTCAGGAACCGTCATGTGTATGCACCACGAAGTAAGAAAAGGGATGGGTCAGTAAGCCGGGTTGGCTACATGCAGAGAAAAAGAAGAAAACGGCTTGGGAGCTTTGATAGAAGACAAGTTTAAAGTCTGAAGTGGGGAGACCTCAGCAGCAGAGCACCACGTCTCCTCCCGGCTAGAAGGAGCAGCCACCTGAGCACTCAGGTCCCAGCTTCCGGGGGAACGCCCCAGTCCGGGGGTTCAGTCAGCTGGTGTCTCCCCACACCTTGTTGGGCTGTGCTCCGTATCCCTTCTGCCTCTCCTGGTCCCTCTTACAGCCACATCCCCCAGCATCTTAAGATTCTAGAAGAACTTAAAAAGGAAGTTTGCTTTGACAGTTGGGGATTCCCAATTCTTTGAACTGTGCCAAGGTGACAGTCACCCTGACTTGAAAGTTGCCAGATACCAAGAAGAAATCTTACCTGCTTCCTCTTTTCAGGGGGAAGTGATGGATCTCCGTCCTACAAGGAAACAAATACCACATTTTACTTCCTAAGAATAAGCCCAGCCTCACCACAGAATCTCAACCCTCAGTTGGACTGAACTGTGAATCTAAATTCAGACCAATCCCCATCAGCCATGCAGTTAGTGAGGTGAGGAAGCAAGCTTGACGACTCTTTAAAAAGAAGTACCACTTGATAGAGGACCCCAGAGAATCGGCTCCAATCAAGACCAAACACATATTTCCCAAAATGATGTTTCTAAAGGAGAAATCTAGATGGGTCAAAATTCCATTAGAGCAGAGCAAAAACTGAGCATAAAATAGAATCTCATTCGGTTAAAGTTCTTTGAAACAGAATAAAAATAGTGACTGATACACAGACATAAACACATGCACACACATGTATACACACACATAAGATTCATGCATACACACATATACAAGAACACACATGTACAAATAAACATGCACACACAGACATGTTTCATATGCATACACATAAACATGCATACACACATATGCACACACATATACACATAGACATGCACACACAGGCACACACATGAAAATACACATATATGCAGGCACACACATATGCATACACATGTAAACACATATGCACAGGGACACCTATGCAAACACAAATACATACTCATAAACATGCACATGCACATATACAAACACACATATAAAACACACAAAAGGCACACATGTATTATATGCACATACGTACACACACCTGCATATTAATTATGGGCAGAATAATCAAGGAAGGGAAATCTGATTTGCTCAGAAAAATAACAGTGAGAAATTTTAATCCAACTAGGCATTTTGACTTATAAAAGTTGAGTTTTCCCATTTTTGCCTTTGGGAACATAAATACCTCAAGAGAACAAACAAATTCTCACCAAATGAACACTTATTATTATTATTATTATTATTATAGTTTTAACAAGACAGTCTCTCTATGTAGTCCAGGTTAACCTCAAACTCCCCATTTTCCCACTTTAGCCTGCCAAATACTGGGGTTACATACACAGCTAAATAAGTCCTCTTACAATGACACTAGTCACATATCTATCCAAGTTATTTGAACTTGAAGAATATTTCTATTTTTACTCCAGGACAGTTTAGTGATCCTAGGCAATGATGAAATGTTAACAATAGTGCTTGCACTTAATAGAAACTGGGCACACACTTACAATCTCAGGACCTGGGAGGTGAACACAAGAGGACCACAAGTTGAAGGCCAGTATGAAACACGTAATGAGTTCCAGACCAGCCTGGGACACACAGCAACAGCATGTTGACAGAGAGGGATCACGTCAACGGGAGGGGAAAGAAGCCAGGGTGTGAAGTTGCTCTGCTCCTCTATTTCTAGCTAACTTGCATCCTTTTAAAAAATCCATGAGAACCCAAGAGAAATCAAGTCATCCAGAACAAGGGATGGTCACATAGTCCCTACCATGGGGACAATGCAAAGGCTCTACGGGTGACCTGATGGCTATTCTTGTTGTCAACTTAACTACATCTGGAAGTAACTAAAATCCAAATGGCTACGCATACCTGTGAGGGTTTTTTTTTCTTAATTAAACTATTTGAAATGGGAAGATCCACTCCTAATCTTTGAGGCAGGATTATCCACCTTTAATCGGGGCCAACCTTCTGTTGGCAACCTATATAAAGGACATGGGAGAAGGAAGCTGGCTTGCTCTTGCCCTCACTGGCAAGTCCATTCTTTCACTGGCATTATAGCCTACTTCTTTGGGATTCCAGGATATACTGAAGACCAGATGAGATACCTAGCCTCATGGACTGAACAACTACTGGATCCTTGAACCTTCTCTTGGTAGACAGCCATTGTTGGATTAGCTGGACCATAGCTTATAAGCCATTCTAATAACCCCCCCCCCCCTGTGTGTGTGTGTGTGTGTGTGTGAGAGAGAGAGAGAGAGAGAGAGAGAGAGAGAGAGAGAGAGAGAGAATACATTCTGTAAGTTCTGTTCCTCTAGAAAACCCTAACATAGGCAACTTCAGCATGTGTACAAGGCCTTCATTGTGACGTGCTGGATAAAGAGAGTCTATTTTAGACAGCATTGCACATGTTGCCCGGCAGAACTCCATGCTGAGCCAGAACAGAACAGCAGCCACCATGGGAGCTCTCAACCCCCATTCTACAGCAGTCATCAGCCACCTGTGGGGTTTGAGCCCATGGAATGTGACAGGACAATGAGGAACTGAGTTTCATATTTTCTTTAATGCCAATTAACTTAGTTAAGTTGGACAGCTGTGTACAGCTGGCAGCTTCTGTATTAGCACAGATTTAAGATATTAATACTCTTTAAAATGACAAGGAAAATCCATTATCAACAGACTAGTAAAGAAACAGCCACAGTAAACACATATGGACATGAGTATCTTCACATGTGTTAGATCCTGCAGCCTGGAAGTACACACATATGGAGCAGGTTGTAGAGGAAATAGGTGGTATACACATTTCTACTTGTAAACTTTGGTTTGGTTTGATTTGGGTTTTTTGTTGTTGTGCTTGCTTGCTTGAGACAGGTTACCAAGTTTCTAGTCCACTATGTAGCCAAGGAAGGCCTTGAATTCCTGATCCCCCTGCCTCCACTTCTGAAGTTAGGGTTACAGGTGTATAACTAGCTGCCTGGTGAACTGTTGGAAAGGGGTCACTTTTGAAGAGAGCACATTATCACATGCCTTTTTACTGTCTTTAGGGAGGGGACCAGACGTCCCTCCAGTGTCAAACTTACAATCAGCTCTCGATACTTCTTCTTCAGGGACTGGTGCCGTTCTCGCAGCTGGTTGGCCATGAGTTTGTACTGGTCCCTCTCCTGCTGGCAGGTGTCCAGCTCCTTGGAGAGGATCAGCAGGGCCTCTTTCTTGCTCTCCAGCTTCCGCTTACACACCAGGTACTGCAGAACAAACAGCCACTGGTCAGAAACGGCAGGTGGGCTTCCACACCGCGCTCCCCAGCCCCTCCTTTTTCACGGTCAGGGATCACACAATTTTAGACACTTACCAGTCCCTCCCTTTTCACGGTCAGGGATCACACAATTTCAGACACTTACCAGCAGCATACATACAGAAAGGCTGCCACATTGCCTGGCAAACAGGTCTCTTAAGACAGAGTCAAACCTTAGCTGTCCATGAACTTTCATGAGCAGGGACAGATACAATAGTTTTTTTTGCAAATAAAAAATAGTTTCTAAAAAGTGGAACTATAAGCCAGCAAGGTGACTTAGTGGGCCACAGCATTTGCCATCAAACATTAACGACCTGAGTCTGATCACCTGAGTCTATAATGCAATGAGAAACTAATTCTTAGGTGGCTGGGCCATCCCAGCAGTGTGAGTGAGAAAACTCATTCTTAACTTCATCCTTACACATGTGCTGTGGCACACATACACCCACCACACACATGCATATGATAATAAAAAGTAGAACTATTTTTAAGATTACATATAAGGATAAATAGATGTCTGGATCCCAGATTTATCTAACATGGCATATATATCATATAAAATTACATATTTTTAAATCTTACAAAGTGATACACACAAAGATATGTAATGAGAAATTTGTAAATATTGATAGGAATCATCTCTCTTGCTAGTAATTTCTTTTCCTCAAGTTTTAAAATTTCCCTTATTTTTTTCCACCTTTTTTCTAAATTTTTGAGGATAAGTCCATGTGCTGTCGATCATAAAAACAACCTCAAATATTATGAAATGTCTTTGAATCATAAATCACTTCACTCGATCCTTCCCAACCACGAAAGCAAGCAGCCATTTTCCCCTGGAGATTTGTTCCCTAACTCGGCGCTGATCTGTAAACCCTCTTCTAGGATCAAACACAGGCACCCACCCATCCATCACCCGAGACTGACTTCAGGACTCAGTATCTTTGCCACACTCTAAATTCTCCCAACAGCCAGACCACGGGCCGTGACTCCTGCCTTCGAGCAACAGCGTCTTGTATCTCTGCTTCTCCTTCCTGCCCTGCACCAGGAATGAAGCTCAGCCAACAGTCCCACCACAGTGGTCCGTGCGAGTCCAGAAAAGATTCTACTCTTACTGGATGTATTATACTGCCTGGCGTTATTCACATATGTGAAATGTGGCACTAAATACCTTTTGAATTTTCCCCATAAAAGACCAAATTCAGAGCATTCATGAAAACAATTTATAGTTTCATTATGCACCCTGACACGAGCGCTTTGTCATCGCGGGGCTCACGCAAAGCTGAACAAGAGCCGGCACTCCCAAACCATTTGAGCCAGTGCTCTTTATGGACAAAAAGCATTACTCATATATAGTGCTTGCTCAGAACTGGCTTTGTTAAGTTCAATTTCAAATAAATGAAAGGAGAAAAAAAAGAGACAGTCTTGTGCATTAGCGCATTTTTTTTTCCCTTTAAAGAAAAAAAGTAATTGCCTAGTTTCAAAAACAAAGGGGAAAGAAAAGCCGTTCTGAGAAAGGACACTTCACCTTGGTGGAATTTTATTCCCCCGAGTAATGAGGTTGGAATCCTGCCTTAAAACGCACTAGATTATGAGATTCTGACATTGTCTACATGATGCAAAATGGTCCCGTTGCCACAGTGATTTCTCAAGAGTCAAGGCCCTGACAAGTAAGTATCAGAGGTGAGTGACTTGGACCCCTCAGTGTCCTAAGGAAGGCACTGAGATTTCACAGGGGAAGCATCACTACACACCACTTAACCCATCTGCCCTTGTCCTCTTCTTTCCCCCGAGTCAGCAGCCCCAGTTGCTGGGGCTTTGGATGTCAGTGGCACAAGGATTCCATTTATGGGATTCACATCTGAAGCCCCAGAGATGTCCAGTGTCTTTGACTTTAGGGAAGAGATCTCAATTGTATCATGACATTTCAGTAGGTAAGCTTGTATAGAATACCCATCTCAGGATTGGGCCGTAAAGGCTACCTGTACTGAGAAAGCAGAAACTCAGGTTCCCTGCCCTTGAATGATCCAAGAGAAAAAGCATTTCTCTCCCAAGGCACAGTCCAAGTTGGAAGCTGTGAAAGGCAGTAGAAAAACTTCGGCTTCAGGCTCTGGAGCTCAGTAGAAGCCAGACATGGAGAAGTGCTGTGAAATGTTGGCACAGCTGCTGCACTCACGAACTAGCTAGGGTTACCTGCATAAGAGCTAGCCAAAAATATCCACGAACTTTCCATAAGGCAGTGCTAATTTACACAGTGGTATACAAAAGAGAAAAAAAGAGAACATGAAGGTATGTTGGAGAAGGTCTGGGGGTGAAAGTAATTGGGGTAGATAGGATTATATTACAAAAGTATCATATACATGTGCATATAAATCATATACATATGCATCATATACATACATGTTTTCAAGGAATGCACAGGCAGTCATACAGAAAATGAAGCCACTCTGAGAAAAGGGTGCTCCAACAAAGTGGCCACTCAGCCGTCCTTTCCTCTGCTTGCTGTAGTCTAGAGAAGTAGTTGTTAGTCCACGCTATTTGTTTTTATCAGCAGGATAAACCTTAGGCTGAAGCCTCACTTATGAAACAGCCCAAAGTGGATCTGAGCGCAGAGCTAACTGAGTGAAGGCTTGTCTTAGCAATCTGCATCCACAGGCAGCACTGAGGACCAGGAACAAAATGTCAGCAGTTCTAAGAGGTAAAGGTTTCATTGGGATGGGAGGACCCAGGCAATCCTGGCATGTGTAAGTGGAGAGCAGAGGTTGAACAGAAGCAGGTAAGTTTTCATTGTTCTCTTTCTCTGACTGCAGATGCTCCAACTCCTGCTGCCTTGATTTCCCCACCACAATGGACTATGCCTTAAACTGCAAGCCAAAATAGGCACTTTCTCCCCTAAGTTGCTTTTGTCAGAGTATCTTATCACAGCAACAGAGGGAAACAAAGCAGTCGCCTTGTGTGATTTTCCTGCTCTTTCTGTATAATGGCTTAGTCTTGAGCTATACTTGCTCTTAGAGACTGGTTACTTTCCGTATCTCCCCTGGGACAGTAGAGACTTCATTGTATCCATTCCATATTCCCAGTGCTGAGAAAAATACATGGTATACAGCAGGTGCTCAATAGATGTATTCAGATAGGTACATGTACATACATATGAATAAGGTATAATGCTGTAAATAAGATAATGTATGAATTTTCTCCTTTTTTATATGCATATATGTAACACATATAGAATGAATAAGAAGAATGTATGTACATAAGACATTGTTCACGTGGATGGAAGAGGACCCTTCACATAATATCTAGAGCTGCATCAGACCCTGTGGTATACACAGCATTGTCCCTATTTAACAGATTTCCTGACTCTGAATCACTAGACCAGGCTCCTTAGTGTACAGATGAGGAATCTGGAAGCTCAACATGGTGAAGTGAGTTATCTAAAGCTGGCTAGACAAAGCTAGTCAAACTGTATTTGTCTCACTCCAAGTTCAAGGCTCTTTCCAGATAGCAAATCACTTCAAGTGTCGAGAGAGAGAGAGAGAGAGAGAGAGAGAGAGAGAGAGAGAGAGAGAGAGAGAGAGAGAGAGACCATGAATTCAGAATAATGCCTGAAGGTTTTGATATGACCATAGTAGGCATACATAATGATGTGAGAATATATTTGCAGGTACTAGTCACTCACTGCAGTGCCCTGGACTTTGGTAAGGGGGATAGAAACTTCCCTCCGAGGGACAACGCAGGGTATAATCATGGTGGAAATCATGAGCTGCCAGTCTTAGCTTTGCTACTTCCTAGGCACGTGATCAGTGTCCCAGCCTCCCTGTTTTTCTGAATAGAGATTGAGACAGCGCCTCCACAGGGGTGGCCTGAGAATTTAAGAAGTTAGCATTTGTGAAACATCTAATGTGTTAACTATAATTGCTGTGACTTCCACTCAGACAGCTTGGGGTGAGACAGGTGGGAAAATCTTGGAAGTGAAGGTGTTCACTGGAGGAGGAGTGACATGTGACATGGAGCCTGCAGGTCAGGGAGAGGGGGTGAGAGGTTATTGTGATAGACAACAGGAAGCAAACAGAGCTCTAGCAGAGAAGCAAAGGTAGAGGTCTTCCTAAAGACACTGGAGTAGCACAATGAGCGGCAAGGATGGGTCTGGCCAGGGGGCCTGTCTGGGGGGAGGACAGAGAGATAGATGCGGCCTAAGAGCGCAGATTTGGCTGAGCAGTTCAGATTCTCTTCTCCTGGGAATGAATGAGGAACCTAGGGTCTCTAACTAGGGGCAGATCATTCAGAATCTTTTCATGGGGGAAAAATGCTATCCTGCCATCAGAGGGGGTAAATCATATTGGCCTGCACAGCATGGGACCAATATGCCAAGCGGCCCACAATGGAAGGAAAAGGCACTGGGGCTCAGGACACCAACATCGTTGCATTCTGCAGTGTGATCTGCCCCAGCAGGCCTCCAGAGAACTGTCTGGCTCTGCTGTTTCTTAATGTGGTCAGCCATAGAACCTGATATGAGGATCATATTGGTGGGCCAGTGAGTCATGTGACCATCCCATCACACTACAAAGGCTGTGAGCAGGACAGACTCAGGAAAACACTCCACTCTCTAACCCCTTGTGTGGAGCCAGGGGATCCACCTTTATTCCCTTTATGCCTTCGCTATTGATTGTTAGTCAAGTAATAACTCTGTTGGCCAAGTTCATAGTTGGAATAGGAATGGCAGATTTTTCACTCTCCTTCCAATTTCAAGACAGGAGACATTCCATTTATTTTCAAGAAAGGAGAAGGAGCAAAGACATTGGTTTTTGAATGTTTGCCATGTGTCCAGCATTCCTAGAAGCATTAAGGACATTTTCTGACTGTAATAGTAATAGTAACCACCACTGTGGTGAGCTTACCACTTCCCATTCTATGTTGACTGCTATATTTGTTCCCTGTGGTTGGCCTCTGTAA